GTGTTTGAGAGAAACCTAGCACTTGTTTGTATATTTTCCTAATTAGGCTGTTGAGTTTTTACTTTTGCGCTGTGAACCATCTGTGGTACGCTGCCGTATAGGTGAGTGACTTAGAACGATTGATTGGATCAAAGGGATGATGTTAGCCTCTTTCATTCCTTTGTGTTTATTGGTAATTTGCCTAATGAGGCGCATCGTATTAGACACTCTGGCTTCAATGTTGCGAACTGTCTCTCTGTTGGTACCCTTACTTTCTATGATCAGACCTAGCACTCGGATTTTATTCATGGTGGGTATGGCGTGACCATCATTTGTAGTGAGTTTTATATCAGCGTGTGCCGGTGCTTGGGGATGTTGCTTGGGTGGGCCGACCTCTAAGCGTAGGGCAATGTAGTAGTAGCTCAGATTTCTCTGCCGAACGGGATGGTCCAGTTCCTTGTAAATACCGTTCCTCTGTGTCAATCACCTCTTGTAATCTCTGTTCAATGAAAACCGTCACTGCCGTCACACACCCAGAGGGTGATGTCGTCGGCGTAAATAGTGTGATAAAGTGCTTGGATGGTTTGAAGTCTTGAAGGAAGACCAATGAGGGCGAGGTTAAACAATAAGGGAGAGATCACGGAACCCTGCGGGGGGCCCGCGCTTCATGTGGTTGTTTCAGACGATGTCAGTGCTCCCACACTGATCGTGGCCGTTTTACCCATAAGAAAAGCTGTTATATAGTCGTACGTGCGGAGCCACAAGTTTAGGGTTGTGACCTGATTTGAAATCAACAACCTTCATACTTTCTGTTTATTACATATGGCGCGATATACTTCTGACTCTATCAGCAAGTACATAAAACATTTGGCCTGTTTAGAACGTCGTACAATTATTGCGACCACTAGGAACCCTAAAACATCGTAAGTTTTATATTTCAGGAAGCATTATAAACACCAATGGTTGGTATATACCTGCCATTTACTTTAAATAAACATGAGCGAATTCATGTGCCAAATGAAACAGACTTGTGTTTATATTTAGTACCCATGTAATGTCACATATCGTGACATTCCGTGCAATTGAATGATGTGTATATGATGTTTTTCACGTAGTTTTTATGATTACACGAATTTTATGTGGCATTCTGCGTTATTTATTCAATGTTTATTTTTGTGTTTGAAGCTGGTTTTTCTAAATTAATACGGATGTTATTCTTTTACCTTGCTATCATTTATGTTTATTGCTATTTGATATCTTATTTGATGTAACACTTTTTCATTTTTTATGCTCTTGCAATTATTTTATTTCACTTTTTTTTCTTGTGCAGTTGTGGTGCTGGATATGTATCTAAACCAAAGTACAACTAATTTTGATATTCTTTTTAAATTGTTTTACTTCTTGGTTTGGTCTCCAATGCACGGAACTGCTTGTCGTTACTGCCCTGTATAATTTAGTATAGTCTGATGGTTGGGTCTGGTCAAGCTACTTATGCAGCTTTTAACCCAACGAAAAAATCCAGCATCTATAAACTAAAAAAATAGAATTGAATTGAACTAGCTCATACTTTCATCAGAGCTAACTTGAAAGAAATCTAGGAAAAGTGTAGAGGATAGTATGTGAAGTATTTACGCTGCACGTATACGACGAAAGTAAAGCGGACGAAAATATATCTTGTCTCTGGAAGGTTCCAAATCTCCCCCACCTTCGAAGAATACAATCAATGCTCTACCAGCAGAGCTACTGCTGCTGTAATCCTTCTTCGCACTTTATGGGGTATATATGTGCATTCAAACCTAGGAGTCTCAATAAGTACCGCTAATGCCGTGATCACAAGTGTGGAACACTTTTTCTACCTGCTGGAATCTCCTGGCGTTTTTTAGCGGCCGCTATATTTTATTTGGCTTTTTTGTTGGTGAGTTTTGTACTGGCCATTTAAATACGGTTGAGCTATCACCACGTGTGCGTGGTAGTCGGGGCCATATGAAATAAGGGAGCAGTGCAGAGCACGTTGCCCCGCCGTGGTGGTCTAGTGGCTAAGGTACTCGGCTGCTGACCCGCAGGGCGCGGGTTCGAATCCCGGCTGCGGCGGCTGCATTTCCGATGTAGGCGGGAATGTTGTAGGCCCGTGTGCTCAGATTTGGGTGCACGTTAAAGAACCCCAGGTGGTCTAAATTTCCGGAGCCCTCCACTACGGCGTCTCTCATAATCATAGAGTGGTTTTGGGACGTTAAACCCCACATATCAATCAGTGCAGAGCACGTTTCGGGTTAATTAAAAACAGTAGTGTTGCGTTGTGGTCGCATTGATGACGTATACGCATGATGACAAAAAAATCACAGCTTTTACAGTGATCTTATAAAAAACAGGAACATGGTTTACTTAGTCATTAAAAGAAGAATTCAAATAATTTAAAAAATAAATAATTATTTTTCAACTTTTAATGCTAGATCATTCGCTTAACTGGCAGATTTCGCCTGTGATGAGCAATTAAATTAGTTTTAATTACAATATTTGTGGCATAATGTGTCCCAAAATCAAAATGTGATTATTTGGCCAGCTGTATTGACCAGCTCTCAAACCACAGAGCATCTGATTTTCAGTAAGGTGTATTGACATAGCACGGTACGCTGGCTTCTAGAAATTCGCCCCCACAGAAACGCCACCGTGACCGCTCTCATTGTACCAGTGACCATCGGGTCACAAGTCATCCCCCGTTGCCATAGCACCGCGACGGACCTGCAGCAGGCCCGATCCCGCGCCGCATAAATTCTGGCGAGCGGGCGTGTTCTGTATGTTTTCTTTGTAGTTAAAGCGCATTAGCGATAAGTATTAAAACAGCAATACTTTTAGGTGCACAGTTAGTAACTGTCTCTTCAGCAGTTTTGGAAAGATATAAATCTACAACATTTTAATGAGAATTTTCCTCACATTCGTTGTTTAAGAAGTCGGCTAATCGACCTCATCTAAATAAACGGGCTGCCTACACCTTAAAGCCTTAAAGTTACAACGGAACACAAGCTTGGGGTCGACAAATATTCTAGGCCCAATTTCGTTACAAGTCACAAAACCGGCACAGGCATTTATGCGGGTCACAAGCCATAGCGAAACGTTGTAAATAGTGGAGTGCGTGTGTGCGAGTGTATGTGTAATCTGTTTATCACTGTATATGCACAGCCATTACCCGGTATCTGAAGTGGCATGTCAGGTGAAAAGCCAGGCAAGTTTCTTCTACTCTTTAATAAAATACTAGTTCTTTCCCTCTCTATTAAAACCTAATATGTAGTGCGACTTACATGCGATATTAGGCAACATGCATTATTTTTCGTGTTGGCATCGGCATTGAGTGCATCGGCATTTTTTTTACTCTGGGAAGAGTTATGCGGGACGACCTGTATACTGTACAGGTCATGTGAAAAATACAGTTCATCACTGCCAAAAAAATTGGTTTTGGTGTCATTTAGTTTGAAAATACAGCTTCTAAAAACAACGTGTCTAAGCGTTGTATTGATGACATTTGCTGCCGTTGAATTGGCCTATGCACGAAGCGTATGCCATAACGTAGGGAATGTACGTCTGGTCGTTTACGCCGTCGAAGAGATGTGCCCACGGTCCTTTGGCATAAACGGCCACATCCTCCCCGCCATGAGTGGCACTCCATAAAGGGTACGTCGATTGCTGGAGGAAATCGTCGCTCGCTGCGTGGAAACATGTGACAATTAGGTTAGCGGTGCGTTAGCACTCAGCGGCCCCTAAACCATTGAGGCTCAGATTCGCGAACCCACTTTAACCTTATCTAATACTTTACTTAGGCTTCAGTACTCTGTTATTTATTATTTATAGAAGCACCTCACGGGTTCAACGTGGGAAAATTCAGTGAGGGCGAGTTAGAACAAATGTTCTTGTGTTTTACAAAGATCGATCAAGATAAATGCAATATAAACATCGCGCCTGTACACGTAGAAGCGTCCGAAGGACACTATAATGGTAACATTGATTGATTGATATGTGGGGTTTAACGTCCAAAAACCACCATATGATTATGAGAGACGCGTAGTGGAGGGCTCCGGAAATTTCGACCACCTGGAATTCTTCAACGTGCACCCAAATCTGAGCACACGGGCCTACAACATTTTGTCTCCATCGCAAATGCAGCCGCCGCAGCCGGGATCTGAACCCGTGACCTACGGGTCAGCAGTCGAGTACCTTAGCCACTAGACCACCATGGCGGGGCATGAATGGTAACAGTGTTAAAGATACCTACAAAATTGGTTTGTGAACATCGTCTTACCATGCTTATCAAACAAATAAAGGCAAAACTGAGTAAGGAAATTGTCAGGTAATTATGAGGTTGGAAATGCATTCGGACCTGTGTTCAAAGATGAGTGAGCAGCATACGTTGGTAAATTTGCTGATGAGTCGACTCACTCGGACTCACTCTAGTTCTGAGGCTGTATCGGAATTAGTGTTTATGTGATTAATATTTTGGTGAGTTTGAATGAGTCCGTTTGAAAGAAAAAAAAAACTTTCGTGAGTAGGAGTCCGCTTACCAATGTTGCTTGAACTGCCTTCAATAGTACGACGTAGGTCGTACTAAGCTATTTGGGCATCACAGAAAGGCATAAAGCGCAAAAAGTAAAATACATTGTTGTTGACGTCCGACTATTGATTGTCTCTGCTACTGTCAATAACCACGTGTGATTTTCGTAAATTGCTTACATGTCTCTTCTTCCGTATAATTTTCACGTTCTCTGTAGCCTGGTCCAACCGCATAGGACAGTACAGTGTATGTGCTTTTAGGTTCTCTCCGTAGTGTGGTGTTTCCAGCTAGTCCTGGAAGAAGAAAGAGAAGAAACCGTCTTAAATCGGTGCAACAATGCGTAAGAATTTCATCTGTTGTTTTACTACAACATTTGGCCGAATTATACAAAGCAATGTGGCTTTGAAATTATGGGCTTTAACGAAGCCCCACGATTGACTCATCAGTCCTTTCAAAATGGCTAATGCAACAATCCGATAAGCTGACAATAATTGTTATGACAGAGTCGGTGATATTAATACCATATTCCGACTACTGAAATGCACACATTTGATGTCGTTCAGATTTATGCTACTTTGCAAGTTTGAATGCAAGCGAAGAGTCCCACTATTGGTTATCGTTATTGTGGGGAACCTTTTTTGCTGCTTATCTGCGAATTTCATTATTGCTACTTTTGGCACAAAGTTTCAAAGTTCGTAATTCCTCTGTTGTCTGTTTACCGGTTCTGCACTATTTATTATGGATAATATACGTACAAGTTGAGGTCTTTTTCGAAATAACGTGCTACTAAAAGTAACTGTGGCTTTTATGCACGCCCCTGTTCCGTGTTACGCTAAATCACAAGCGTCTTTCCGCGAAGACTCCCGCAAGCCTGAAGCGATTTGATAGCGTTATAGAGGACTGAACAACGTGCTTCAACGGCTAGAGAACCTTAATTTGAATGGGTTGACTAGCGTGTATACACGAGTGAGTACTCAATATATTGTTAGCACGCGCTATTTACATAGGCGTTAAATGGCCACTTCCTTCAATGCTGCAATGCTGGCGGTGGGCACACCGACTTATACAGGTCTCGTTAATTGTGAGAAATGTTGAACATTAAAACGAGATCTTATACATTGTCGGACACTTGGTTTTAGAATATACACCACTCATCTCTTTTATAGCGTCGGAATCATAAACATGCACAGGGTTCACCTTCATTGGGGAAAGGGGGGCTGACTAAGGGCGATGACCCTCCCCCCCTCTATCGCCCATGTGCACGCCTATGCTCAGACTTCTTGTCCAAGAAATGAAAATTGTCAAATGTTCCTCGAGGTGCTGGAACTGCGCTTTTTAGCTCTCATGCGGTTTAATCAAAGTGCATGTTTTTGTCAATCCTTGGTATTTCGATCGTCTGAGACGCAGGTGTTCGAATATCAAGAGCATTCCTACATACCCAGTATGTTTGTTCCCCGACTCGGGTGGCCTGCTATACTCATCGTATGCGAATGATCTGCTGTCACAACGTAGAGGGTTTCATTTTCAGGAAGACTTCTCACTGTCTTGTTGACGGCCTCATCGAATTCGAGCGTCTCCTGAAGGGCAAGCTTTGCACGGTTAGCATGATGGGCATGGTCAATGCGGCCACCTGCGTAAAGGTAAAGTTATATCCTTGAAAAAAATTGCAAGTAGACAACATGCTATGCATTCACGAGTTCTTGCATTGCGAATGATTCAGATGTCACCACTTTGCCTTCCGATATTATCAAACGAAGTGCCCCTAACACGCAGAATAAGTATACGCTGATATGTGGGGAGACAAGATTACGTTAATGATCAGATAGTTCTGCCACAAAAAAAAAAACAACGATGAAAGTTCCACCTCAAGGGCAAATCCATTTATGCGATAGAAAAACCTTAAAACGTAATACGAAGAAGAACAAGCAGCAAAAAGTTGCAGTGTGCCGCTGAAGAACAAATGAGGCACTGTATGTACTTACAGCAGTCGCAGCACCACATTTGCAGTGCGCTGTTCAGACACAAAGCAAGGTACCCACAAGACATCTGTAAAGCATGATGTGTACTTTGTTGATGCTGCCACTGATGGCAACGAATAATTTTACTGAGCCTCTTGTAATTGGTTGCAAGCATCAAATGACCTGCCTAAAGAAATCGCATTTTGTAAAGCATACCTATTATTTCGTTCTTCTGTCACGCTATATACCATCACTCAACGTGATTTGCTGCCTGACATGAAGACCGTTCCGGTTCTTTTGGCTAATAAATTTTGAGCACAGGCGTGATTCTGCGGTAGAATAATCAACTACCGCGCAGAAAAAAATGGGCTCCAAAAATCCGCCCGTCACTCCAAAGGGGATCATGACAAGTGGATTAAGTACTGTGTATTGTTCTTACCGTAATTCACCCATGACATTTCCCGCTCATATGAGGGACACGTGGATGTACAGTATATTTAATGTGTCTTAGCAGGTTAGCCCCCACTTTCCACGCTCTCCCCTCCAGGGCAGCAGCTTGCTGTCGGCGGTGTGGTTTTTCCACTTCTTTGTGAACTCTCGCCTCTGGGTAGCTCATTTTCTGCGTAGACGTTGGGTTTCGCAGGCGAGAGGTCGTTATGTTTGGTTTTGTCGGAGCTAACACGGGAAAGATCCAGCCCTGACAGCGATCAGTTTTCGAACTGATTTTTGTATTATCGCGTTGCACCCGCCGCGCGGCCCAAATGCCAACTTCTTCTTCCTTGTTGAGCGGCGCATTGAGACGCTACAGGGCTCCTACCCGTAGAGCGAGAGCCGTAGGAATCACCAGAGGAGTCGCCCAGTGGACATGCTTGGATGTTGGCATTTGGACTTTAGATTGAAACCTCGTGGCTGCGAAAGCGGCGATATACGCAGGTTTCAGTCGATCAGCAGCCACGACGTCTTCACGGCCATTGATGTCCAGCGTGAACTTCTTAGGTGTACGATGGAGTACGCGAAATGGGCCATCATAGGCTGGTGTTAGTGGTGGCCGTATTTGGTCACGCCGAACGAAGACGTGACTGCAGTCATGCAGATCCTGACTGACAAAGACAGACTGGGCGTGTCGGTCGGTAGGAATCACAGGAGCAAGGTCCCGAAACGTGGTGCGCAGCTCTCGAATGTACGTGGAGGCATCGTGAGTGGAAGGTGGCGATGATGGCTCGAAGAATTCTCCTGGAAGACGCAGGGAAACGCCACAGACTAGTTCGACTGATGAGCAGCCGAGATCCACTTTCAATGCTGACTGGATGCTCAGAAGTACGAAGGGGAGGTGGTCGAGCCAACGTTCCCTTGGCTGGTGAGCAGGGAGGGCCGCTTTCAGTTGTCGATGAAGCCGTTCGACCATGTCATTGGCGGAAGGGTGGTAGGCAGTTGTGTGGATGTGTCGAATGCCCAGGATATTGGCAAGTGCGGTGAAAAGGGCCGATTGAAACTGACGACCGTGATCAGTGGTGTCGACAGAAGGGCATCCAAAGCGCGACACCCAGCCGTTTGTGAAAGCCTTGGCAACTGTTGGTGCTGCTGTAATGTCGGAAATGGGAAACGCTTCCGGCCATCGGGTGAAGCGATCCACACATGTCAGCAGGTAACAGGCTCCTTGCGATGACGGAAGAGGACCGACGATGTCGAGATGGACGTGAGAAAACCTTGCGTCTGGAGGCCGAAACGGGGATGTTGCCGTGACAGTGTGACGGTGAACTTTAGCGCGCTGGCACTCAAGGCAGGTTCGCGCCCAGCGTCGGACATCAGCATTGATGCTTGGTCAAAGGAAACGAGATGTGACTAGCTTCTGGGTCGCACGAATACCAGGATGGCTCATGTTGTGCAATTGATCGAAAATTGCACGACGAAAAGCTGAAGGCACGAAGGGCCGAGGGACACCAGTAGACGTTTTGCACGTTATTAATGAGGTAGAAAATGGAAGCGGGCACTCCGTGAACAATAGAGACGTGGATGAAGAGCGAAGACGATCCAGCTCAGGATCGTTGCTTTGGGCAGCTGCTAGCTCTTCCTTGTCTAGTGGTGGCTGGGTCGACAAGGCATCGATGCGGGATAGTGCATCAGAAGCAGCATTTTCCGGCCCATGTAAGTGTCTGAGATCCACATTGAACTCGGAAATAAAGCATAGTTGACAGATTTCCCGTGCAGTATAATTGCTGTGATTGCGGTGGAAGGCAAACGTCACGGGCTTGTGATCTGTAACGACGTAAAAGTCCCGGCCCTCCAATAAATGACGAAATTGTTTGATGGCGAGGTATACCGCGAGGAGTTCTCGGGCAAATGTACAGTATTTTGTCTCTGGTGGCTTCAGTTTTTGCGGGAAAAACCCAAGGGGCTGCCAACCGGATACTTGCTGCTCGAGAACAGCGCCAACTGCCACGCTTGATGCATCGGTGATGAGACGAATTGGGGCATCAGGGACAGGATGTGTGAGCATGGTAGCATCTGCCAGAGCCTTCTTGGCAGTGTCGAAGGCAGATGCAGTGTCCTTGGGCTACTCCAGTGGCGAAGCCGGGTCTTTCTTTTTAGCCAATAGGTCGGTAAAGGGCTTTGGGAATGTGGCGCACTTTGGAAGAAAGTGGCGATGGAAGTTTAGTAGGCCCAGAAATTCTCGGAGTCTCTTCAGTGAAGTCGGCCGCGGGGGTGGAAAGTCTTGAATAGCCTTTACTTTGCTAGCGAGTGGTTGGATACCCTTGGAGTGACAAGGTGGCCTAGGAACTTTATTTGTAGCGATGCCGAAGAGGCACTTATTGGGATTAAGTACGAAGCCGTAATCATCCAGGTGGTGGAACAGGGGCGCAGGTGGGCTTCATGCTCAAGGCCGGATGAGCTTGCTACAAGGAGGTCATCAAGATAGGCAAATACGAAATCGAGACCTCGCGTGACCTCGTTGATGGTGCGCTGAAAGGTCTGTGCAGAGTTGCGCAATCCAAAAGGCATCCTCACATATTCAAACAGACCGAATGGGGTGGGGATGGCCGTCTTCGGAATGTCGGCGGGTTCTACAGGAATCTGATGGTAAGCCTTCATTAAGTCAATCTTATAGAAGATTGTGCACCCAGCCAAATTTGATGTGAAATCCTGTATGTGAGGAAGTGGATAGCGGTCTGGTAAGGTGTGGGCATTGAGAGCGCGGTAATCTCCACATGGTCTCCAGTCGCCAGGATCTTTCTTCGGCACCATGTGGAGTGGCGACGCCCAGTTGCTAAAGGAAGGCCGCACAACGCCGAGTTCAAGCATGTGCTCAAACTCACGGCGGGCGATGGCGAGGCGTTCTCCAGATAGTCGACGGGGTCCTGTAAAAACGGGAGGTCCAGTGGTCACAATGTGGTGAGTGATGGAATGCTTTACTGGTGACTCTCTGGTGTGCGGCTTCGTGATGCTAGGAAAGTCGTCGAGTATTTTTGCATACGGCGAAGCAGGTTTGAGAGCTCGCAGTCCCGTTGGCGAGGAAGTACAGAGTACACCTTTGATGGAGAGGCGGGTGTTGAGATCAATGAGGCGATGAGCATGCATGTCTACAGCAAGGTTGAAAAAACTCAGAAAGTAAGCTCCAAGAACAGCTTGCGAGACGTCAGAGAGGATGAAAATCCAGCGGAACGTACGGCGTAGTCCAAGGTCAAGTGTAAGAGAGCGTTGGCCGTATGTGCCAATGACGGAATTGTTGATCGCTTGGAGTGGGCAGGTCTGTTCGTTGCGACGGCGATCTGCACACGAGGCCGGGATGACGCTAACCTGGGCTCCTGCGTCGACTAGGAAGCAAGCGCCAGTGATCTTATCAAAAACAAAGAAAAGACAGCATGACTTTCGTCCAGTACCACTTGCCGCCGTCAGTGGCCGGTCGTCGCATTTCCCGACCAGGAGCATGGGCGAGTGCATTTGCGAGCAGAGGCACCGAATCGGCGGTGGTACCAGCACACGGTTGAGGATGAAACGTCCCGCGGCGCGTCGGGTGGCCGAAGTTCCGGAGAACGTGGGGGCGTCGAGGAGCGACTGTGTATCTGGAGCCTGGATGACGGTCGATAATGCGCAGGTACAAAGTCATCGAGGCGCCTGACAAGGGCGTCCAAACGGTTCTCGATGCTCGCGAGCACCGGGTCTGCAGCGGGGGCCGGTGGCGGTGTGGTAACGCGTTGAGGCTATGTGCCCGCGAGTAGTCCGCCACTCAGTCAGCCATTTCAGCAAGTGTGTCTATTGGGACATCTTCTGCAGCTACGAGGACCGGGACCATGCTCGGCGGTAAGCGCTGGAGGAACAACTCACGTAACAGCTTCTCCTCTTGAGGGGCGGAGGGGCCACCAAGGAGCTGGCGCATGCGTCGCAGGAGCTGTGATGGGCGACGGTCACCGAGCTCTGTGACCGTGATGAGCTGTTGGAGTCTGTTGTGTTCGGACTCATACTTGCGGGAAATAATAGCTGCCTTCAACGTGCCGTAGGGATGGCTCGGGTGTGGCGACGCTAAAATATCAGCTAAGTCGTCGGCTACGTCCGGAGGTAAGCCGGATACTAGATGCCAGTGCCTGGTCTGTTGGCTGGTGGTTTGCCGTAAACGGAAGTGCGCCTCAACCTGCAGAAACCATGTGCTGGGGCTGTTGGGCCAAAATGGTGGCAG